TGTTTAGAGATCAACAGTTTAATACCCCGTCTAAAGAGAAAAATTAGTTTGTCACCATGCATCTAGATGTGCAGCTATTCTGTCCTTATCAGAAAAAACAAGCCATAGCACGTCTCCCAAGGCAGCGATCCAGAAATAGCAGATTATCACCATCACTTATAAAATGGTCTGGCAGAGCTTTTTATGATGTTTGTCATGCTACATGTTCAGGTTTAATTGTTGCCAAGAGATTATCATCTTCATTCAAATTAAAGATATTAAATTAATACCATGGAAGTTTCAAGTTCACTGGAAGGTAAAAGTGGATTTGTTATAGACAGTCAGGACTTGCTTAAAGATTACATAAAATCCAGTGGGTATTTCCATACCTACATTCACCTCCTGTGTAATCCAGAGCAGCAAAAACGAAGGCGAAAATCAAAGACACGCTTTGCATCAAGAATTATCAAGAATCCTTTGGTGTTTCAAAGAGAATAACAGAAGCAATACCACACCAGCTGGCCACCAGAAAGACTGAGACCTAATTAGCGTGCAGGAGGTATGAATTTCCAACCAACTGCTCCAGTAAAGCCTTTCCTTTATGTGCAATACTTAACTGCACCACACTTCTGGTGCTAAATGGATCTGTCTAAAAGCAAACCAAAATATTCAGAACATACTCATATTTAAATCACGACAGAAAAAAAAATTCAAACACTGAGCTTTCAACTTCTAAGAGCTGCATTTAGGAGAATTTCAAACAGATTTTCATGAAGTTATAGTCAAGTTAATTTATGAGATGAAAATAAGGATGTTAGATCAGGGCAATGCTGTACTTCATGCTTTCAGATCACGAGGCAAAAGAAAAATTAGTAAAGAGGATGCTTTAGCATTTTACAAACCTCACTCTACAGATCTTTTACTTTGTTGCTTCATATTATCAGTTGCTGAGTAGGGGTGGGAGAAGAGGAATAGATGATAAACATAATTTAATTAAGTAGAAATTTAATTAAATTGGCTTTCCCAATAAAATTTATTCACAAAATAAATTCACAAAATAATAGACATTGCCTTAAATCAAAGAAAACATGAATTCTAAATATTATCATTCGCTGCCTGACTGAAAAAAATCGAGTATGGGTTTGATTGTCTCTACTCCATGAAGTTTACAAGTGAGAAAGCGTATGTTCCAAAACAACTGGTGTCACAAAATGCAACGATACAAAAAGTTACAAGTGACAATGGATGTGAAATGATGATCAGTGCCAAGGGATGGCAGATACATCTCAATGGCTGTCAGCTTCTTGACAGAGCCAAATCGTTCAATGCAAACCATTAACTCAGCTTTGACAGAAGCCGTCCTGCAAGCGGGAGCAAGGTTTCTTCACCTGTTGAAACCAAAAAGTATATACTAAGATGGCCAAATGATTTTAACTTTATTAAAAGGTTACCCCCCAGCCGACTGAGGAGCCAAGCAGAGGCTGTTGAGCATATCTAATTAATACAAGTTATTACGAATCCACCTCTTGGAGCTATGAAGATTATACTGAGATGGGCAGATTGAGCAAAGCTGATGAATTAGAAGCCTGTCCTGAGAAATAAGCTCAGAAGGAAACCGGGGACTGGAGGGACAGAGGTATACAAGCACCTAAGGCACAGAAACGTGGAGAACATAAGGCGACACACTGCCTTTCCTGCAGCAATGCCTTTGTCCTGCAGCTTTGTTTCCGAAAGCTATCCACGGCTGGGAAAGTACGTCTGCAACACCTAAAAATACCCAAGTCTGCAAATGATGGCGCGGGTCAAAACCGCAGAAAGTTGTGAGTACTTTTTGGCTATCTCAGTTGAACTTGAATCTCCAAAGAGAAAAACCTGACAGCTCCTGTGTAGCTCCTATTTCAGACAGTGGAATTGAATTTTTTTAAAATCTTCAGAACTATCATCTGGAACTCTTAAGACAACAAGGAAAGACTGGCCAGCACGTTACAGACATAAAGGCCCTTCCAAAGCACTTTGGAAAGCTACGGTAATAATCCAAGTCCTTCTGGTTTGTTACACACATGTGGAGGAAAAAATTCCAAGTACCTACAGCTAGGAGTTGCTTAAATTACTGTGTTTGACCTATCTGAAGCAAAGCAATCTCACGCTGTATTATTTCCATAAACCTGAGCAATTTGAAAAATTAAACCTAGCTGCTGACAACTCCCAGCTACCACAGTGCCTTCCTCCTGAGCAGTCAAAGCCCACTTTCTTCCAACTGAAGCTCTCTCCATTTCTTAACTCCCTGTTGTAGCAACCTCATGGTTTTCCCATCAGAAACAAGACTCTGGCAGTGCAGCCAGGTGGTACAGGGCCTCTTTAGCCAAAGTGCAAGGAATTGGGTACGTACAGTTCTTGTGGATGGGAGGTGGGGTGCGAGCCGCAGTCCAACTCCCCTTTTCTGCAAATCCCAGAGCTGCTGTCTGTGGTCCCAGATGCTTAGGCAGGGTCCTGTAACTGGGTCCACAGAGAGGTCTCTGCCAGGGGTTGCACTGAAAAACTGGACCTGGAAATAGGAATTGGAAGATTTTCCAGTTTTAAGTGCTTAAGACACTTTCCCCATATGGGTTACACATTCTCCTGATAGACCAGACACCAGAAATTGTACTGATTGTATCAAAAGCTCCACGCTGTATTTACAAGCAGTTACAACACAGCTAGTGCCTGTGAAGACAGACCAAAAAAAACCCGCATCGATTTCTAAATGTGAATACATACACAGGAATTATTCTGGGAAAGCAGTTCAAGACCCTTTAATATGGTGAAAATGTCCATTCTGGCTGGAAAGAGAAAAAATAACACAATAAAAACATTACTACTCTTTAAATTCTGGAGAATACAACTACCCATGAGAGAGTGCAAAATGCAAACAAACCTCAGTAAAGAAATAGGGTGTATAAAAATGCAGTTTAATCTAAATTTTCCTGAAGCTAAACGCTCCATCTCACTTCATACCACAAAAGGGAACAGAAAAAAAAAAAAAAAAAGGAGACTTGCTCACAGGGATGGAAAATATTTTAAGAAGTCATTAAAGCAACAACCTTCCCAAAGAGAATAAATCTGCAAAGCTGCAGCAAAACAAGCTGCCCAGTCTATTTTATCAAAGACTTAGGCTTTTTTCCCATTACATGACAAACAACTGGCATCCAAGCTGCCAATTATTTAACCATGGTGAGATTTTTAACTCCATGTAGGAGGGAAGAATAAAACTGCTGCAAATTTAACACTGCAGAACAATCTACAACAGCTGCCTACAAAATTTACTAAGTCCTTTTTCATCTCTCTCTACGAGTACTGTTTCATCAACACGTACAGAGAAACTGTTACCTCTCTCGCACTGGTTGAAAGTCATTTTTGTCCTAGTCGAAAGATTACTAACACCTCTGAAATAATTAGGTAAATGGTGGATAACATGATTCTACATTACCATTTAGATGGCTCTGTTTCATTACAATTTATGTGCACAGTGAAATTTCTCTGACTCAGACACCGCATTTTACATCGCTTGTAGCAGTGTAAACTCTGCTAATTATTACTGGCCAAAAATTGAAAAGAAACCTGATCAATCACTGTTTCCAACAGTTTAAATATAGTTCTCTCATTCCAGATACGCACCAGCAAGTGGTATAATTTTGACCATCATGTTACTCAAAGCTTGAATTGTATCAACGCATTGTTTCTCCTCAACTTGCTTCGAGCAAAAAGATCTCGCTTTGGAGTTACTGATCTGTGTAGTTCTATGTAGTTAACTTACCAACTAGTCTGTGAGTGAGCATAAACTTTACTACATTGATTTCTCTAATCCATCTGCAACCTCCACCTACTCTCTCTAAAATTTGAGAAAATTAGGACATGAGTCACTAGAACCACAATCTTTCTGATTATAGAACACAGAGTTTTCCAGGGGTCGTTAAAAGCCCTGATTCCACTCTTTATGGTATCAAGTAACTGCCAATAGGGCAGCTGTTGAATACACCGACTATTACAGAACCTCACAGGTTGAGGTTTTGAGCAGGCTTGGTACTCATTTTAAGAATATTTCAGTTAAAAAATTAAGTAGTCTCAGGGTACAAGAATGCGTAATGAACAAACATGCAATTATACTGAGGCCATAAGGTTTCTGAAAAGCATTAACTGGTGTATGTCAGTAAAACATTAGTTAGGAAGCACCTTTCTCAACTGTATGAAAGATGTTAAATCAGAAGAACGGTGGATTTCTGTAAAGTATGCCTGGTGAATGCCCACAAACCCACCCTCTTTCCTGTAGTTACCTAGAGAGAACAAGGCACATTAAGACAAAGGGGCGACTGCCCATTAGTTACTGACTTCAAAGGGTCAACCCCTCGCACGGAGGCTCAGAGATCTTTCTAAATGATGGACAGCAAATCATGTCCCTTGCTCAAAAACTGTCCGCTACTAACATCCAAGCAAACCACCATTCCTCTTACATCGCTCTGTGCAAGAAGGATGAAGTATTTCTCATCTTAAGGTGGTCAGGCAGGCTAAGACAGCTGTGGTTTTAAAAAGCAGAAAGTACTAAAGGCAATTAATTTGTAACAGAAGTCATCTGCAAACAATGAAGGACTCCACAAAAACTCTAGCTAATGAAAGATGTTTCCTTCTTTATTATTGTGTAATACTTCTTTCACAGAAACATGGTATTTACAAATATACACATATAGACTGCTGATCATAAAATGTTACTGAAGAATTAGTCAAAAAATCAATTTACAAAAACCAAAAACTTTCCAAAGATATTCTGGCTGAAAAAGTTGAATGAAATCTCAAGGAGACGCTTCTGTACAGAAAGATAGGTTTCAGCTCCTCGAGTTCTGGTAATATTAGACAAGTTGTGAACCAAGTGAGCTAAGCTCAGCTGTACATTTGAGATGAGGCAGTTTTTTTATACTGTTCTTTTTCACACAATTTCTTGACGGTCAGTTCA